ATTGCTTCGGTTCCACTTCGAAAATCCCAGTCGTTGCATGCTCATGAGCTCCAAAAGCATATTCAACGCCATGTACTACATCACATTACAATAAAGCATTTCATGCCAATTAACAAATACAGACATCTAAATACAAGTCTAACATAAAAATCTCAATCAATGGATTACATCATATCTGCGTGTTTGATGATAAACAGCAGAAATTACTATATATATATATATATATATATATATATATATATAGAGGGAATTGTTATTAGGACTTCAAAAATCTCATTCTACACCCCAAACTTTCTATATTAGGAAAGAAAAAGTGTAGAATGAGATTTTTGAAGTGCGAATAATACCTTCCTATATATATATATATGAAACCTTACTGTGGGTAGTAGAAAATGGTATTCTACTACCCACTGTAACAAAAATCAATTCAAAAATTGGGAAAATTGCTTGCAATTGAGTTCATTGGAGAGTAAAGGTTCTGAATTTATCACACCCCAAAACATGAAAACTGAATTCTAATTACCCAAATTGCAAAATTTTCTGAATCAAATCACTCAGGAATTCTTTGATTCTTCCTAAAACATAAAACCCAAGTTCAACTGAATCGAAATTGCACAACCCACATCCAAAAATTTAGACTTTCATACCAATTTCTTCAGTCTTCATTCAACCAAAACACACAGCCAGATCTAAACTTTCTCGGCAACCAAACAGAAGCTAACCCAATAACACAAATAAAAAACAAAAACCCAATAAAATCTATTACCTTGGACGCCGGAATGGTAGACTCCGAGACCAAGCCAATACGCGTACCCATTGATCGGCGTAAGATCGTACACGTTCAGATAAACCGGCACCTTCCCAATCTTCTTCTTTCTAGGCACCAGTATCATATTACACAACATTCTCTCTCTCTCTCTCTCTCTCTCTCTCCAGAAAAAAAAAAACCAGAATCCAAAAACTCCCGAACAAAAATTGAATTCGAATACGTAGAGCTCCAGCTGCCCCAAAAGCCAGCGAGAAGTGCCAAAGCCGAGGGCGCCTCGGAAATTCTGGAGGCTTCGGGAGGGCGAAACGGGAAGAGAAGATTCGGAGAATTTTGTTTTCCAGATATTTTTTAATTTAATTTAATCCTTTTTCTTGGAGGACGAATCTTAGACAGCTCCGGCGGCCGAAAGTGCCTACGCCGTGAGCTCGGTTATATAGCAAAAAGCGGAAGCTTTTGTATAGGCGGTAAACTTGCTCGTCACAAAAAACAGCCCTACAAGTCGAGTTATTTACGGAAAACTACCATTCAAAAACCGAAACGTACCAAAAAGTAGCCGCCACGAAGACACCGGCAAGGAAGAGGAGAAAAGGAAACTTCTGGGAAAAAATGGGATTAGGCTTCTAGTGCCTTTTTTGCGACGGAAATCTCCACCCGCTGCAAAATCCTGTCATGTTTTTTTGGATTTTTTAAGGGAGAAAATGATGGAGTTGGGGTGATTGTTGAAGGGAAAGGGAAAGGGAAAGGGGGAAGGGAAAAGGTGGTGCCCTTAACTTTCTTCCAACCGAACGTATAAGTTAAAGTCTTGGTTTGCCTTGGTGGGTGTGCTTTATGCAATATTCTTTGGTTAATTTGTTGGGAATGGGATTAGGGGATTAAATATTGGAGATGAATTGTCTGCCATCCCCATCTCATGTTATTCTATTTTTTGTGGTTATGGTTAAGTCACGTTAATATTTTATATTGATTTTTTTTATAGAAATAATAAGACAAAAAATAATGGGAATATAAAATGTTGACGTGACTTAACTGTGACCACATAAATAGGAGGGGATGGAAAGGGCATGAGATGAGGAGGGCATACAATCCATCTCCTTAAATATTTGACCTTGTTTATTGGCACTAAAGTGGGAAGGAAATGGGGAATGGATGATGTTAGGTACCGTTTGGTACGTGGGATACAATAGAGGGCAGTGGGACAGGACGCACTCATTCCATGTTTGGTGCGTCAATTTGCCTGGGAGGAGCTATCTCATGGAACAGATTTTAGTCAATTTTTTGTGCCACCCTCCCCCTGGAATGACTTGTTCCAGCCCATGAAACACAAAATTATAACTTTTTGGACAATAATACCCCTCTTATTTTTCATTAATTTTCACTTTGAAAATTAATCAAAATTCTAGAGATCTCTCCATTTATGCACAATTAGGATAAAATATTCATTAAAAATCAAAATTTACCTCAACAGATAAACTCAAAAACTGAGTTCTCTTGTTTTTCCAGGATATCAAGCTTCTTTGATCGCACTTCAAATTTTCCGGGAAACTGAGTGACAAAAACCCAACAAAAAGCAATTTTCTTTGCGTTTGATTTCTATATTCAAAGAAGAAAAACAGCAAAATGAAGAAAACTCTGATCAGATAAAGGGTTCCTGAGAAAGCCAAAGAGAGGAAATTTTATGGGGAAACAAACACGAAGAATATAAGGGTACTGGGAAAAGTAGGTGAAAGGACGAGAGTTATGAGAAGAGTGGAGGAAGAAGAGGAAGAGGTGGAAACCGGTGATGGGTAATCTGTGAAGGGTACGATTGTCATTTAATTCTTCATTCCATTCCAGCCTGAGTGTACACCAACATAGTAGTGAACCTTCGTTCCATTTCATCCTGTTCCGTCCCATTATGTCATGTTCCATCCCGTCTGCGTATCAAATGGTACCTTAGGAAGGAGAACAATTTACATTCTGAAACGTGTTCACCAATGCGTGGTGTTTTGATTTAGTAATATAATTTTATGTTAAAAAACTTAACATGTGTTATAGTTTTATTGGAACGAATCGCCACGACAATGGTGAATCCATGTTATTAAAAAGATGGTTAGATGTGGTTCAAAATGTGATATCTGTCGTTTTTCAACATGAAATTAAGGACAAATAGGAAAGAATAATCTTGTGCTCGTAAATTTCTTTGATGCCAAGATGCAATCGGTTTGATAGCAGTGTTACTTCATGTAGTGGCGATATACTTTTAAGTTTTTGCCAAAAAGTATTTATAAGTGTTTTTAATTGTCATAAAACGCCTTGAATCATCAAAGAAACAATCCCAATAGGTCCGAAGTTTTCCTATTAAAGTTTTCTATTTACTTTTTTGATATGGACAAATGGGAGACTTGTGAATTTTTCTTAATTTATAGTTGATAAAATTTACAAATTAAATGATATGTCATCAATAAATAATAAACATACTTACAATTAAGTACTATTTCAAGGGTAATGGTAAGGAGACTAAATTTGTAGATAAAATTAGCATGTTTATAAACGTTTAAGTAATAATCAAATTGTCAACTTCTATATCATTTACTTTTTCAATTTTTGTCTACAAATTTAGTTTGTCTAGTATTATTCATACTTCAATCATTAACTTCCATGTCATTTAGTTTGCAAATTCAGACTACAAATTTAGCCTCCCTAGCATTACCTCTTTGATAAATAATGGGTAGTGCTATTCATCCACTCTTTCTTACCTTCCACACAATCTTGTCATTTTTGTCTATTAATCTTTTTCTTCATTCAATCTAATTGTTAGAAATTAAAAAGTATGTAAGAAGTAAATAGGTTTGCGGATAGTACCTTTCTAAACAGTATCACAACAATGTTGGCTTTATATATAAACACACAAGGGTGAAGAAGAAGGGAAGAATGTATGAGGTAATTTGGGTGGAGGAAGATTGTCTGCCCTCCTGTTTGGGTGCCCTTCTCATCCTTCCTATTTGTGCAGTCACGGTTAAGCTACGTTAACATTTTATATTCTTATTGTTTTTTGTCTTATTATCTTTATAAAAAAATCAATATAAAATATTGACGTGACTTAATTGTAACCGCACAAAATATGAAGGGATGAGAAAGACACTCAAACAAGAGGGCAGACAATCTGCCTCCAATTTGGGTTCCACCGTTAGCATGACTGGCTTATGTGCCCAATGCCACGAGCAACTGTCACGTACAATGGAGACAGTCTTGATTTCACCTTTCTTTCTAAATCTAATTTTTAAACAATTAAGAAACTCAAATTTGATAATCTTTTAATAGCTTCTTAAATCTTGGTGTTATACAAAATTCGGATATTAATGTACCAATTTGCAGAAACCAAAGCTACTAATTCAAGGCTTCAAATATGTATATTTTATTTTATTTTTTAATTAGTTGTATTTGGATTTACTTGCAAATCCCTTATTAGGATATGAACAACTTAGAGAATGACATAACATTACAGTAACATCATTTTTAATAAAATATATTTTTATTTTATTTTATATTGTACAACTGCTTGTAACTTTCTAGTAATTAATTGTACTATGTTATCACGCTGACGTATAATATAATTCTCACATTCCAAAATAAATTATGATTGATGCACCAAATTACTAATGAGATTACGCACCCACATTCTTAATATGATGATACCATTTTAGTATTAGAATCACTAATTCCATATCATTTATATAATGAAATATCACAAAATTATAATTTTAATATAAGTATCTGTCACACATTATTTACATACTAATTCTCTTTTTTCGTATAGCTTTGGTCGCTCTAAATCCTAAGACCAAATTAAGCCTTTGTGTGACTGAACTTTTTATAGTTTGTTGGACAATATTTGAGTGGTTTCGTGCCTTTTTTTTGCCCTTGGTGGCAAATGTTTGCCGAACGACCTACGACTTACCCGACCAAATTTCTTTGCATGAAGCATCTGAAAAAAAAAACAAAGGGTTGACCACGTTTACCCGATCAAGAGTTATTTTTCGTTGGACGAAACTGATTTACCCAACTTTTAGTCTGGCTAATTTTAGTTGGAAAAATAGTAATTTCTGATAGTGATACCTTACCGAAGAATACATCCGTAGAAGTTCAAATTCGAGTTAAGATTCTAGACTTTTGTTCACTTTCCATTAAACCAACTCTTTAAAGTTACACAACTAAGATTTTAGATCAACCATAATAGGAATCAAACTCACAAAAAAAGTTGAACCATTTCTCAATTTATACGTGTTATCCTTGTGCAAGAACAATGCTAATCCTTTCATCTCATACAAATGATATTGAAGAAAGGAAAAATCAAGTTCGAAAACTTGTGTGCATGAGTGAAATTAAAAGGTTTGTCACTGAGGTTTGTATTTTGCGATGCGGTCTAACCCAAACAAGTTAGAAACAACTATATACGTACGTTAGCATGCATGCTTTATCTTAACCGCATGAACGAACCCATGTGTCCAGATAAGCTGATGATCTGCTATGCTACAACTAAATCTTTACCTAATAATCTTTGATTGGAAATTTGAAGCCCTACCAATACCAACAATCATCGAGTAACCCATTTTTCATCATGCATGTTGGATCGTGGGGGTACCGTTTCAGCATTTTCATGTCTTATCATTCAAGGGATGGCCTTAAATTATTAACATGGATCCTCTCTCCGGATCCATGCATCCTAATTTTAGGGATTCATCAATTTGGTCTATTGAAATTTGATCTAATGACTACAAATAAGGGTCAATTTTAAAAGTTGTAATAACCTTAGCTTTTGGATCAAATTTCAATAACCCAAATCGGGGGATCCCTAGATGCATGGATTCGGAGAGGATCCATGTCCTTAAATTATTACACCAACCCATAGGTCATGTCAGGTTTTTAGGACTCCCTTACGGCAAAAAGACTTATGTGAAAAGAAACATACGCATATTCTTATATCATTAGCATGACATGTTACGATAATGGTGTATCAATAAAATGGGCGTATAAGGGAGAAAGATTTATGTGAAAAGAAACGTTCACATATTTTCATATCATTAGCATGACATGTTACAAAAATAGTGTATCATTGCACAGGGCCTCAAATTTGAAAGGACCCCATAAAAATTTGCCATCTGTTGTAAAATCGACTGTGAGTGCAGTGGAATAAATGAAACAAGACACAAAATTTACGAGGTTCCTCTACAGTCAATGTGACTGGAGTACGTCCTCGGGGCAGCAGTGGTGCTTTCATTATAATTTGAAATAATAGGAGTACAAAGATAACTCTCTCTATTATCTCCTCTCCTCTTCCTCTCATTTCTCTCTTTCTTTTCCTTCCTTTCTCTCCCGTGAACCTCTCACATCTATCTATCCCTTTGTTGTGTTTCATAAGGCTTGTTTTTATACAAGTAAATCACATGCTAAATAGTGGAAGGGCAACTTGCCCATTATTTGAGTGGACATCCATTTCTACAACACTCCCCCTTGGATGGCCACAAGTCTTTGATTGACTCGTTAAAATCTTGATCTGTTTTGGATGCTCCCCCTGATGAGTATCTCCCCCTGATTTCAAATCATTTAGGTTGATCGTTGATTGTTCTGCTTTAGTCTCTTAGTAAGAAGAATTGCTGAAAGAGTTGCTTTACTTGTTGTTAACTTTCCACAGGCTTTTTCTTGAACTGGGTTGTAGGACTTTCTGCTAGACTAGCATCCAAAGGTCTGAATTTACTCCTTTTATCTGGAGCGGAATTTGATTCAAGAGTAGTGAACACTTGATCTTGAATCGGACTTGTGATTTCTTCAAGGACCTTCGAGGCTTGATCTTGAATGAAATTGGACCATGAGGAGCTTCATGTGGCAAGTGATCTTCAGTTTTGTCAGGGATGAATCAGCACGCGTTTGTTGCGCTTGTCTCCACATGCTTCAATGTATCATTTTCACTTTCTTTACTTGCTCCCCTTGCGTAAGTAGTATTTTCCCTGCTTTTCCCCCATGCATGTGTGGCATCTTCTCCGGCAGTATTTGCCCTCTGATGCCGGAGTGGAGTGCAACCCTTGCATTTGGATGGTTCATCACTTCTTGGTGACTGGAGACCCAGCTCCAACCGTTGAAGATGACTACTCAAGAGCAACACTAGGTAAGCAATCAGGAAAGGTTCCAGGCAGTCGGTTCCTTACCGGGAGTTTGAGTGGAGGTTCCGACATATTGCTTTCTTTATCATTGTCTTCGCAGGCAAGAACAAGGACAAAGGAAAGGACAGGGAGATTGCATGATATGAGATAATCTTGCTCTGGTCCCTGAAGATATGTGATAATCTTGCTCTGGTGTGACATGTTTGAAGAGGTATTCTCGGAGAGGAAGAAAAACTGAGTATTTCGAGATGCTATGTTGAAGATGCATTCTCGGAGATGAGGAAGAGTTAGGTATTCTTGCAGTGTTGCGGGTCTGCCTTGTTATGGAGAACAGAGGTCGACATATATAGAGATTTCTCAATAGCAAGTGGTGGTGCTGTGCTTTTACTCTTGTCAGCAACTGTGGTGTAAATAGAACAGTAAGATTTACGCGTTTTCAACTTTGTCAGATATCTTTGACAAAGTTGCACGCGATATCTGAAAAAGCTGGGATTACGTCTGAAAAATGCCAACGAACTTTATTCAGGAAAATCTGGCTTTTGAAATTCGGAGAGCGGTGCCTCTTCGATCTTTGAACAAGTGGCTCTGCTGCCTCTTCTTTTATAGAGACATCAATTGTGTTCAAGAGTATGCTCAGAAAGTTGATGCCTGTAGAAATTTCCTCTATCTTGCACTTCTGAAATTTTATTTGACCTCTGTTTTTCCTTCATCATTTCTGAAAAATGACTTGCCCATCTAACATTTGCTTAGATTTGAGTCTTAGGAGTGATACAGACGAGCAGCGTCATGATAATATATGACGCCCGTCATTCTTATCTTCTAATGGTCATCTTACGGTTGGGGACTCTGTGATGAAGAATAACATAACCGCTACTGTGGTAGCTAGGAATCTTCTCACTCCAAGGGATAACAAGATCCTTTCAGAACGGTCTGAAGAGTCGGCCGTTCAAGACTCCTTGGCTCTCAGTGTTCAGTGTGCTGGCTCTGTGTCCAATATGGGCCAACGCCTACTTGCTCAAACTCGCCAAGTTGAATCATTGATGGCGGAGGTGGCAAGTCTTAAACAAGAGATCAGAGGGCTCAAGCACGAGAATAGGGTGTTACACTTGCTTGCAAATAGTTACTCTACTAGCATGAAAAGAAAGCTCGACCAACTGCAGGAATCTGAAAGTCGAATTCAAAGTGATCACCAGAGGTTCGTTGCTAGATTCCGAAAGCAACTGATGCCTTCCCCTTCTGGTGTTTTGCTAAGTACTGGGGTGCCACATGATCAATCTCCAGTGCCTCCCCCTTCTGGGGTACTTCCGAGTACTGAGGCTTCACATGAGCAACCTTTGTGAAGGCTCCATCCTGTTTGCTTGTTTTAACTCATGTGTATGTACATATCTGTAATTTCTTTGAGATATTAATAAATAAGCTTTATTTCATTCAATGTATTGTGCCAAATACAATAAAGCATATACTTTACTAACATGTGGTACTTCTGGACCAAGTATTAATTTATCTTTACCCTCACGAAGATAAATGATTATTCTTAGTATCTTCATCATATGAGTATTCAACTCATAATCTTCAATCCATATGGTTCTTTTAATATCATAAATATCATGGATAAGATTCGTGTTGGTAGATTGTTCAATCTGCAGCTCGAGACAATAATTCCTTCAACACTTTATAATTTTTCTAGACTCTTCAGGAGTCCCAATTTAATATCATCAACTCTTCAAGAGTTCTAATTTAATGTCATTGACTCTTGCAAGAGATTTTAGTATGTTGCAACAATATCATACTGATAGTACTCACTAAGGCAATTTATATCATCCATTGATATTGAGTATATATTTTATGTTTTACCCTTCAGGGGCTTACTTCAAGCAATTTGAATCCTTCAAGGATTTTCTACACTTCATGACACATTTTCCTTTGGAATTTATACAGTGCAATTTGCTCCCATGTATACTTGAGGGATTTACTTATGGAGATATGATGTGGGCGACTCACAACCCTTCGTATATAATTCTCCATTTATATGAACTCGTTTACAAGAGTATAATTTCAGGTTTCAATTAGTAACCTTGTGTCATATTATGTGAGTGTATTACAAATGCCGATATGTAACCTCCTTGGTTCAACATCTTTTGGCTATTTGTATTGTATTCAAATATATATAGGTTCATTTGTCCACGTTCTTACAAAATTGTAATGGAATTGCCTTTCTCCATTTTGGCCAATAATTTTTCTTTTTGTCGACGAACAAAAGAACGTGACTCAATATTAACACAGCTCATTGATGAATTTAGTAGCTACTTGTAAAAACCAAAATTACCATTGGTTATCATCAATCCGTGATCCCATATTCTCATGTGCATGCGCATGCATAAAAACTTTTCATTTCTTTGGATATCCATTGCCTCTTCAAGGGCATGACGTTATCTCTTCCAGGATAGTCATAATTTAGAGAATGTGGATCATAACCTCCTCTTGAACTTTATAGAGCTTGGATTTTAATCTCCACTTCCGGGAGTTGAGTCTTTGGAACCTATACATCTATCATGCTACATGCATGAGACATCAATATTCCCATGTCTGTGGATTGTCCTATCTGGGACGTGTATCCATGCGGCGACTGTCATGCTTCTGGCATGCAACAGTTATGCTTCGGGAATGCAATAGTTCAGTAGTGCCATATTATTCTTCTTTCGAATAACTGAACCTTTTGAGTCTAAAAATCTGCCACGCTTCAGGCGTGCAACAGATAAATCATTTACTGTCTCATTATTTTATCCAACAGAGACATCAATTCTTGTAGACACATTTGCAGTAAGTATATATGATTTCATCACTTTCGTTGCATCATTCAATTATTCATATTTCATTTTCTCATTGATTGCTTCGTGAATCAAAATAAAATAAATTCTCTTCGTTCTTCTGGAACGATCCTTTCTCGTCATTCTTCTGGAATGATATTTTCTCCCCCTAACAGCGGAAAAATTGTCTTATCAAAATGACAGTCCGCAAACCAAGCGGTAAATATATCCCCAGTCAAGGGTTCTAAATATTGAATGATAGATGATGTTCAACATCAATGCCTAATCTACGATGATGCCTCATTTCAGTACGTTGTGGCAGTCTTACAGGCACATAGACAACACAACCAAAAACTCGTGAAAGTATAATGCTTGGCTGGTTCCCAA